AACCTCTGCCTCCCGGGTTCAAGCAATTCTTCTGCCTCAGCCTCCCAAGTAGCTGGGATTACAGGTGGCCACCACCACACTTGGTTAATTTTTGTATTTTTAGTAGAGATGGGGTCTCACCGTGTTGGCCAGGCTGGTCTCAAACTCCCAACCTCAGGTGATCCACCCGCCTTGGCCTCCCAAAGTGCTGGGATTACAGGCATGAGCCACCGGGCCCAGCGTATATTTTTAGTAGAGACGGGGTTTCACCGTGTTAGCCAGGCTGGTCTTAAACTTGTGACCTCAGGTGATCTGCCCACCTGCGCCTCCCAAAGTGCTGGGATTACAGGTATAAGTCACCGTGCCTGGCCTGTATTTTGTATTGTATGTTTTCTTCAACATGTAACCAATCAGTATCTTGTCCATGTAGTCAACTGATCAACTGACAAAAAAAGAAATGAAAAGAAAAAAGAAAAAACTTGTGATCATGCCGGGGAGCGGGTGAAGCCTATTTAGATACTCTCCTTCAAAGCAGCCACCTTGGGAGGCAACTCACACAGCAGTGACGGCATCTCCGCACTGGGGGGCTCTTCTTTTAGATCACCTTCGCTGCCCTGAGAGCAAGGCAGTGTGGTTTATTTTCATGCATACCTTGATTTTGGACCAACCCATATTTCCCAGCTGATTCACTCATCTTACTGCCAGACTTAACTGCAAATGACTTTAAATTACTTATGCAGGCCAGGCCTGGTGGCTCACACTTGTAATTCCACCACTTTTGGAGGCTGAACCAGGTGGATCACTTGAGGCCAGGAGTTTGAGACCAGCCTGGTCAACATGGTGAAACCCTGTCTCTACTAACAGTACAAAAATTAGTCAGGCATGGTGGTGCACACCTGTAACCCCAGCTGAGGCTGAGGCAGGAGAATCGCTTGAAACTGGGAGGCGGAGGTTGCAATGAGCCAAGATCAAACCACTGCACTCCAGCCTGGGTGACAGAGTGACAAAGTGAGACTCTCTTAAAAAAAAAAAAAAAAAAAAAAAAATTACTTATGCAATGAAGCCAGTCTTTCTTGATTTGTTACTGACCGGCTATGTGACTTTAGTGATGCCTTATCATTTATCTGTCTAAGGCAAAACAATTGGATTAAATAATCTCTAAGATTCCCTCCAACTTGAAAATACCAGGACTAGGTGATGGATGAAGACCTGCCAGTGCTGGGAATGCTTACCAGAACGTGTCATAGGCTCTGAAGGAAAAAAAAATAGGGAACATCACAGTAATCCATGCATATACTTCCCTGCTGAGTATTTTGACGAGAACAGAGACCCAATTATTCAATTAATTCATTCAGTGAAACTTCCATTGAGAAGGTACTAGATGTCAAGTTCTGTGCCATGGATTGGAGATATTCAGATGAGCAAAGGAAGTTTCCTACCATCTTCAACAACAGTAACAATAAAATGAATACTTTTTACTGGGTTCCTTCCATGTGCCTGCCACTGTATGCACTTGAATTTTTTTCCCCCAGCTTTATTGAGGTATAATTCACAAATTAAAATTCAAGATATATCATACATATTATGTAATGATTACCATAATCAGATTAACACATCCATTACCACATATAATTACCATTGTGTGTGAATATATGTGTGTGTGGTGAGTACACTTTAAGATCTGCTCGCTTAGAAAATTTCAGGTAAACACTACAGCGTTATTAACCATAGCGACCATGCTATTCATCAGGCCCTCAGAACTTATTCATCTTTATAACTGAAAGTTTGTACCCTTTGACTGAATATGGAAACCTAAGTGTCCATCGATGGATGAATGGATCCATCTATTTCTCCTAGCCTCAGGCCCTTGGCAACCACCATTTGACTCTGCTTTTATGAATTTGACTTTTTAATTTTTTAGTTTTTATTTTATGTATTTTTTGAGACAGGATCTGGCTCTGTCGCCCAGGATGGAGTGCAGTGACTTAATCGTGGCTCACTGAAACCTCTACCTCCTGGGCTCAAGTCATCCTCCCACTTCAGCCTCACAAGTAGCTAGGACTACAGGCACATGCCACCAGGCCAGACTAGTTTTGTTTTGTTTTGTTTTGCTTTTTTCTATTTTTGGGTGTTTCACTATGTTGCCCAGGTTGGTCTCGAACTCCTGAGCTCAAGTGATCCACCCACCTTGGCCTCCCAAATTGATGAGATTATAGATGTGAGCTACCACACCCAACAGAGTTCAACTTTTTTAGATTCCACATATAAGACAGTATTTCTTTCTGTGTCTGGCTTATTTCACTTAGCATAATGTCCTCCAGGTTCATCCATGTTGTCACAAATGGCAGGATTTTCTTCTTTGTTATGGCTGAATGTGATTCAACTGTGTGTGTGTGTGTGTGTATCTATTCATTCATCAATGGACACTTACATTTCCGCATTTTGGTTACTGTGAACAATGCCATAATGAACATGGGAGTGAAGATATCTTTTCAACATACTGATTTTATTTTATTTTTTTATTTTTTAAATTTTCTTGAAGAGTCTAGCTCTGTCACCCAGGCCGGAATGCAGTGGTGCGATCTTGGCTCACTCTTACTGCAGCCTCCGCCTCCTGGGTTCAAGTGATTCTTAAGCCTCAGCCTCCCAAGTAGCTGGGATTTTAGGTGTGCACCACCACACCCAGCTAATTTTTGTATTTTTTGTAGAGACGGGGTTTCGCCATGTTGCCCAGGCTGGTCTCAAAGTCCTGACCTCAGGTGATCTGCCCAAAGTGACCTCCCAAAGTGCTGAGATTACAGGCAAGAGCCACTGTGCCTGACCAACATACTGATTTTATTTTCTTTGGATATATACCGAAAAGTGAGATTGCTGGATCATGTGGTAGCTCCATTATTAATTTTTTGAGGAGCCTCCCTACTACTGTTTTCCATAATGGCTGCACCAATATACCTTCCCACCAACAGTATACAAGAGTTTCCTTTTCTCTACATCTTCACCAACATTTATCTCTTTTCTTTTTTTTTTGATAACAGCCATCCTAACAAGTGTAAGGTGATATGTCACTGTGGCTGTGGTTTGCATTTCTCTAATGATTAGTAATGTTGAACACCTTTTCATATTCATATACCTAGTCCTTTGTATGTCTTTTTCTGGAAAGTGTCTATTCATATTCAGGTCCTTTGCCCCCACCTTTCTTTTTTAGCTGGGGTCTCTGTCACACAGCAAGCTGGAGTGCAGTAGTGTGATCATTAACTCACTGCAGCCTCAAATTCCTGTGCTTAAGGGATCCTCCTGCCTCAGCCTCCCAAGTAGCTGGGACTACAAGTGCATATTACTGTGCCTGGCTAATCTTTGTCCAGTTTTTAATCAGATTATTTTGTTTTTTGCTATTGAGTTGTGTCACTCGCTAATTCCTTAAGAAACAGTCCAATGGGGGAACAAACAGTCAAACGAATGGATGAAGACACACTGTGATAATGAAAGCTAACATTAATGCTTACTGTGTGAAGGCACAATGCTGGTCACTTTACACGGTGTGATGGCGTGATCATTAATTTTATGTGTCAACTTGACTGTGTCATGGGGTGCCAAATGTTTGGTTAAACATGATTTCTGGGTGTGTCTGTGAGAGTGTGTTTGGATGAGATTAGCGTTTGGGAGACTGAGTAATGCAGATGACCCTCCCCAAAGTGTGTGGGCACTACTCAATCTGTTCAGGGTCTGATTAGAACAAACAAGGCAGAGGAAGACTGAATTCACTCTCTGCCTTGCTGCTTGAGCTGGGACATCAGTCCTCTCCTGCCCTTGGACTGGGACGCACACCATTAGTGCTACTGGTTCTCAGACCTTCAGACTTGGACTATATTTAAACCACTAGTTTTCCAGGGTCTCCAGCTTGCAGATGGCAGATCGTGGCATTTCTCAGCCTCCATATTTGTGTGAACCAATTCTTTATAATAAATCTCTTTATATCCTATTGTTTTTGTTTCTCTGGAGAACGATGACTAAGAGATTATCTCATTTCATAAATGAGATAATAATAATAAAACTGCAAAGGAGTTGTATTATTAGTGACATTTTGTGGATGAGGAATCTGAGGTATAGAGAATGTGTGTAACTTGCCCAGGGTCATGCACAGAGCAGGTATGTAAGGTTAAAAGTGGTTGCTCCAGACCAGGAATGGTGGTTTATGCCTGTAATCTCAACACTTAGGGAGGACTGCTTGAAGCTAGGACTTAGAGACCATCCTGGGCAACATAGCAAGAGTTCATTTCTAAAATAAATAAATAAAGTTAAATAAACTTTTTTAAAAAGTGCTTGCTCCGGAGGGCTAGGACAGGAGGGAGAAAAGGATGGGCAATGGCTGATAATTTTACAAATCTTTCTACACTATTTGATACTTGAAGTGTGTGAGGGTGTCATGGCATATGTTATTCACAAGTCTATTCACAAGTCTAGAAGCAGACAAAAGTCCCTGAAGAAGGAAGGGACAGGGAAGCAGGGTGTCCAAAGTGGCCTGGGAACAGCATCAAAGAAAGGCTTTTCCAGCCCAAGACTTTCCCTGGGGTCATTTGTCCTTTCCTTCCATTTCATTAAGGTGCTGCGACCTTCTACGGTCTGGGGACAGGACATTTTGTTTATGATTCATAGGTGACAAGATAGTTCAAAAGAATCTCCATTCCCTGCCCCCATGTTTTCCACATCATGTCTTTATGTGTCATTGACTGTGCTTAGTCCACACAGTCTCACAGTTGTGTAAACCAGTTTGGTGGGAAGTGGCAATTCCCATCCTGAGAGAGACTTCATGTTGGAGAGGACATTTAAGCTGGATCCAAAAGGTTCACGGGGTAGTTTGCCAAGCAGGGAAAGAGAATGCCTTAATCAGGTATCACTGGGTTGCAAGAAATGGAGATGAATTCAAACTAGCCGAAGAGAAAAGAAGGCAGGAAAAGAAGACAGTAACTTGAATTCCCAACTTTCCAGACCCAGGCTACAGCCCTGCAGCAACCAACACTTACAAAGTGTTCTGAAGGTGTGGAACAGCAGTCCAGTCTTTGTCTCCTCCACACTGGACCCACAAACTCCTGCTTCCTCCTTTGGCCACTTCCTATGGTTGATTAGACATGGTTCCCATCTGGAAGGGAAACAGAAGGTAGGATCATAGGAGTAGGAGATCATGTGGAGATGCAGTCCATATCTATTTTTCTGCCAAATGAAAGAAAATATCCTTTCTGAATGAACCACAGTAGTGGAGAAAGTTTGGTGGATCTGAGGAAGTTAACTATCAATTCCCACCACACACAGGACCTGAAAATACCAAATTTCCTCCTTCTTTTCTCAGTGTCCCACCACCCGTGACTCTCTCCCTCCTCCACGCTGCTGGTCACTGTCTCTCCCCTGTATGCTCATCCCATGTACTCAGTTGACCCAGCATTTTCTAAAGTCTGTCAATACTTTTTTTTTTTTTTGAGACAGAGTCTTGCTCTGTCGCCCAAGTTGGAGTGCGATGGCTCGAGCTCAGCTCACTGCAATCTCTGCTTCCTGGTTTCAAGCAATTCTCTTGCCTCAGCCTCCTGAGTAGCTGGGATTATAGGAACCCACCACCATGCCCGGCTAATTTTTTGTATTTTTAGTAGAGATGGGGTTTCACCATGTTGGTCAGGCCGGTCTCGAACACCTGACCTCAGGTGATCCATCCACCTCTGCCTCCCAAAGTGCTGGGATTACAGGCGTGAGCCACCGCGCCTGGCCAGACTGTCAACACTTCTGATTCCTCTGTTTCTTCTCTCTTTATCAGGTACCCCTTCTCCCCCACAACAAATTCTGACTTTTAACGGAACCCATATTCACTTAGAAGACAAGACAATGATAGCTAACCTCTGCTTGGTTGGCTATCACTGGGACATGGAACAAGGACATATGCAAAGGGGTCTGAGGTGGTCATTTTTCATTATATGTACAGAGAAAGACAACAAAACTCATGTAGAGAGAGAGAAGAAGAAGAAATTAAATACAGAGAATGGGATGAAAGACCACAGAGCTGAAAAGAAAGAAGGTAGTAACTTAAATTCCCAACTTTCTAGACCCTGGCTACAGCCCTTCATGAGATGTGGTAACTTTTCAAGGATGTGTTCTTCCAATGTATTTCTCTTTTCGCTTCAGCTAGTTTGAATTTGTCTGTGTCTTCCAACTCAGTGATACCTGATTAAGGCATTCTCTTTCTCTGCTTGGCAAACTACCCCCTCAACCTTTAAGATCCAGCTCGAATGACCTCTCCAATGTGAAGTCTCCCTCAAGATGGGAATTGTCACTTCCCACCAAACTGGTGTGTGTCTCCCACTTTAGATTGCATCTGGCTGTCCTCCCTTGCCAGGGAACCCCTTGAGGGCCGAGAAAGTGCTGTTCCTGAATTCCCAGCAACTCTCACAGTATCTCAGATGCTGCCACGCAGTACACATTTGATAAAAGAATGGATTCGCTGGCAGATGGGTAGAGAGAGCTCTTCTACTTTCTGCCCGTGATGTGTAGAATAAAAGCTAAAGTTCACTTGGTCCCCTGCACTCCTTAGGAGCAACTGAGTTCTCACAATTTCCAATCTGAAGTCTTCACATATGGATAAATCCTTCAGGAAAGGCCTATGTTTCGTTTTGGCCTTCTTCTTTCTTCTCACTTTGTTTTAGTTGTGGCTAGTTCCAAATGATTCCAAGCTTATACAACAGCCAGGGACAATCCCTCTCCCATCACAATGTGGGCTGGAGCCTAGTCAAGCTATTCCTAAATGCCAGTCCAGGCCTGGGCTACTTCAGAATCAGGCCAGCCCAGACCTCCAAACCTCTGCCTAAGGGAAGATTCTGGCATCTGAGATGGTTCCAAAGGATGCTCAGCCAGGTGTGGGATCCTGGAGAGGTTATCATGCTTATGAGGCTGGCTTATGGGTCTGTGCATTGTTAGAGACCACAGACCCTATTCTGATCAGATGCCTGTCTTGCTCAGAAGAGGGCAAGGGAAGAGGGCTCTGCCAACCTGGGGCACAGACGGGTATCTCCATCAAGAGATGTGTCCTGAACTTTCTCTTCCTCACCATTGTCCCTGCTGTTATCCCGCTTCTGACCCTCCTCACTTCTAGCTTGGACATTCCATTCCCAAATAATTTTCAGTGTCTGATTTCTCTGGGGTCAACTCTTTTGTATACAATACTTGATTAGATTCCTAAGGCACAGCATTTCATTGTTTTCCTGCCCACGTGCTTAGTTCCTGCTAGTCTCTGCTCTTCCACAGCTATTCATATTGAAATTCTATTGCCTGTAATCCCAGCACTTTGGGAGGCCGAGGCTGCCAGATCACTTGAGGTTGGGAGTTTGAGACTAGCCTGGCCAACATGGTGAAACCATGTCTCTACTAAAAGTACAAAAATTAGCTGGGCGTGGTAGTGTGCACCTGTAGTCCCAGTTACTCGGCAGGCTGAGGCAGAAGAATCGCTTGAACTTGGGAGGCGGAGGTTGCAGTGAGTTGAGATCGCACCACTGCACTCTAGCCTGGTTGACAGAGTGAGACTCCATATTAAAAAAATATATATACACACACACACATACACATATATATACATACATATACACACACACACACACACACACACATATATATATATATCCTTTCCTCAATAACAAGAGCTACAACAATACCAATAACAACTACCATTTGTTGAATGTCTGTTACCTATGTGCCAGTCACCACACCAGGAATTTTACATACGTTATCTCATTTAATCCTCACAAGAACCCTGTAAAATGGGTACTATGATACCCATTTGACATGCAAGAGAACCAAGGCTTGCATGTCTAAGGTAAACACAAAAAGTAACTAACAGAGGCTGAGCTAGGTGCCATGGCTCATGTCTGTAATCTCAGCACGTTGGAAGGGTGAGGTGGGTGGATTACTTGAGTTCAGGAGTTCAAGACCAGCCAACATGGCAAAACTCTGTCTCCACAAAAAAAATACAAAAATTAGATGGGTGTAGTGGCACGCACCTGTAGTCTCAGGTACTCGGGAGGCTGAAGTGGGAGGATCACTTGAGCCTGGGAGGTTGAGGTTGCAGTGAGCCAAGACTGTGCCAGGGCACTCCAGTCTAGGCAACAGAGTGAGACCCTTCTTTAAAAAAAAGAAAAAAAAGTTACAGAGGCTGGAAAACAAACCACAGTGGGTCTGACATCAAAATCTGCTTTTCCTACTCTGCTACTCTGAGTCCAGTTTCCTTTACTCCTTACTTTTTTTTTTTGTCTTTTTTTTTTTTTTCCTTTTTGTGGAGAACGGGGTCTCGCTATACTACCCAGGCAGGTCTTGAACTCCTGGGCTCAAGCTATCCTCCCGCCTCTGCCTCCCTGAGAGCTGGGATTACAGGCGTGAGCCACCGCGCCCGGCCTACTCCTTACTTTTTTTTTTTAGACAGAGTCTCGCTCTGTTGCCCAGGCTTGAATGCAGTGGTATAATCTCAGCTCACTGCAACCTCTGCCTCCTGGGTTCAAGCAATTCTCCTGCCTCAGCCTCCCATGTAGCTGAGACTACAGGTGTGTACCACCACACCTGGCTAATTTTTGTATTTTTAGTAGAGACAGAGTTTCACCATGTTGGCCAGGCTGGTCTTGAACTCCTGACCTCAGGTGATCCACCCGCCTTGACCTCCCAATATGCTGGTATTACAGGCATGAGCCACCGTGCCTGGCCTACCCTCACTTCTGTCAAAAGAATTATCATCTTTTCTATCTCCCATTAATTTTGTAACTCTTTTGTGGAGACTACATATTGCATTGAACTGTAAAGCATAATACTAACTCAGTATTGTTTATATTGCTTATATTTTTTGTGCCAGAAAAATAGAGATGAGTCAAGGCAAATCCATTATCACCCTTAGAAAAACCACTCACATGCACGTTCCAATTATGTAGGTCGGCAGCTTTATTTCAGAAAACACATCTGAAGCAGTCACACTGTAGAAGTGAGAGCTGTGGTTTTTGAAGACCTGCATTTAAATCCCAAGGCCATCACTTCCTAGGTATGTGACCTTGGGCAAGTTGCTTAAATTGTCTCTTTACTTTTCACTGGTCAGTTATAATGAAGGATGACAGTAATAGTTTGTGCCTCATAGGGTTATTGTGAGGATTAAATAATGGAACTATGCTTGGTAAGTAGTCAGTGTTTAATAAATGTTATCTACTGTTAACTGTTGTGAAATGTAAATGTTCTTGTGATAAATGGTTTGGAGTCCCCCCCGGGGGAGAATTCTTTTTCCCTGTTCCATTGCTGCTTGGCTTGACCGTGTGACTTGCTTTGTCCAACGAAAATTAAGAAAGGATGTGTACCATTTCTTTTTCTTTCTTTCTTTTTTTTTTTTTTTTTTTGAGACAGAGTCTTGCTGTGTTGTCCAAGCTGGAGTGCAGTGGCATGATCTTAGCTCACTGCAATAGCCACTTCCCGGGGTTCAAGCAATTCTCCTGCCTCAGCCTCCCAAATACCTGGGATCACAGGCACCTGCTACCACGCTTGGCTAATTTTTTGTATTTTTAGTAGAGATGAGGTTTCACCATGTTAGCCAGGCTGGTCTCAAAGTCCTGATCTGCCCACCTCAGCCTCCCAAAGTACTGGGATTACAGGCATGAGCCACTGTGCCCAGCCAATGTGTACCATTTCTGAGCAAAACTTGAGGAGCTATTGTGTGGTCTGCCACCCTCTCCTTTCCTTCTGTTACAAAACCAGCGTTGTCTCAGCTAGGGGCTGTTTCGTCAGCCTAGGACTCAGAAAGAAAATGATAGAAGCAAAACCACAAGCAGGCTGTGATGGACAAGTCATGCGTGTAGGGCATAAAGCTTTGTGTAAGCCACTGAGATTCAAGAGTTGTTGGTCACCATACTTTAGCCTACGCTGACTCATGGTTGTTAAACTAGGTTTATAGAAAGCCTCTTATTTAAAAGTATTTGCCTGTTCTATGATTATTCTTTGATTCTCTGCAGACTTAAGACATTAGCAATTTTTAGATCAGCCTGGCAGGCTGATCTGCTGCTTCTGACTGAAATAGCTTTGGAACTTAGTCTTACATCTGAAATGGGATGATTCCAGAGTCCTTGGGATGTTTGTTATCTA